GAAACCTAAGATGTGGAATGAACATTTTTACATCTAAATTTTAAATGCATGCTTTGATGTTTATTTTTTATGCGTTGCTGAACTGCCCATATGTATGGCTAGGAAACTGGGAAGGTTTCTGATATTTTCCCCATCTTAACATCCCTAAAACTGGGTTTACAACAAAAATAAACTCTGATGTCTAACAAGGGTTGAAAAAGTGCTGTAAACAAATGATCCCCACTTCTTGAGGACTTCTTTTTTTCCCTAGGGAGTAAAAATCTGTTACACAGCTGTAAACTTCAATTATTGTATGTAGGCCTATCTAAGGTAGGTATCGTTTGTTTTAATGGGTTGTAGCTTGCATTCTTGTTAACAGTTCGACATACCGATGGTACTAACACAAACGCAATCGTAATAATCAAAATTATTGAATCCCTTACTAAACAGCTGTTTGTTTTGTTAGCTAAAATGAAATTGAAGAGTTTGAAGTAGTTTTGAGAAGTTTAGTTGTTGGTTTTTAACTTAGTTTGCTTAAACAATCGTGCAATATGACAAAAAATATAGTTCATCACACAAGCAAAAAGTGTCTTTTCAACCCTCACAGAATTTTCTGAGCTCGGCTTCACCTCGATCGTAAAACATGAACTCAGTTGGAAAGAGTCACTTTGAAAAAAATTAGATTTCTTTGAATTGTTGTAAACTTTCTGTTCAAAACACATTTTGTACAGATTATTTTTTAATTGCTTTCCACGGAACTAGAGAAAGGAAGTCACAATATTAAGATTGTTTGCATTTACTGATTGACCCAAAACAGAAAAAAGTTATTTTGCAAAACTCTGAGGTAGGCCTACTATAAGTTTGTACGTTTATTCTCTACAGTTCTGAAGATGACAGAAAATATATTAAGTTCTAAAATCATTGTTACTAATACTACACCTTTTTGTAGCAGCTTAACCCTTTCACCTCCCCTGTCGGCCGTGAGCCTACATTGGCTGTTTTGCAACCGTTTCACATTACGGCTAAACATTTTTTTATTGTTATAATTAGTAGGCTACAATTTGAATTTAAAATACACTTGACCCATGATTGTGACATGTTGCAGGCAGTTCGCGAGAGTCTACACCAGGAGTGCAGATGTCAAGGGTTGTCCAGCCTGTGTCGCAGTAAAGTGTGTCACATGAAGGTCGGTCCATTCCAGGAGATAACTACTAGTCTACGCAAGAGCTACGAGAAGGCTCGAGTGTGAGTGATTATCAAGCAAACGATGCCAATTTAGTATTAAAGGCTTACGTAGTAGAACTAATTTGGTCTAATCCACACAGATAGAGCATTCCGTAAGTTTGATAGAAGATTCAGTATTCTACAACCTTAATTTTAATTTAGCTAACAGTTATTATCAACTATCATTGAGATGGGGACAACAAGTGGAACTAATACACGTCTAGTGGTTTTTACTTGTTCTATTGTTTTGGCCTACAAAGTTTGTACGGTTCTAAAACAATCCCCTCCACGTCTTGATCCTATCATAGCTCAACAGCTGAGTTTTGTCAAAACATCAATCAGCTGCTACATACAGCAGAAGAAAGTGAGGGAGGAACTTCCCCTCAAACCGCAATAATATATTGTGAACGTATTATAAGTTTAGCTATTTACTATTGGATACGAAAGTAGACATCCCATATCCTAGCTATATAGATCAGCTGTTGCCAGTTGTTTATTAAAAAGAACATAGTTGTGTAAGACAGTCACAGAATGTGCTAGAGTCTAAAATTCTTTTTTCTACCAAATTTTTTGTTGCTGTCTTAGTTTATAGGTGTCGTAACAGTTGCTATTGTTCCACAAAAAGTAATTTCATCAATTTAAATTGGTAAAAAGCTTGTGTATTCTACAGAAGTTTGTAATTTAGGTCACCACAATCTGTCGTGGCTCACATCAACTATGGCAATTTTGATTAGAAAATTAGTCAAAAATTTAACATGGGGATGGAATGTCTAGTTTTATTAACAGTCAAAGACAGGTTTCCCTCATCCAAAACTTGCTTTTATATTTTGTTGATTTTTTAGAAACTCTTTGTGCAACTTGTGCTAATAATAGGAGATCTTATAACGCCTAACGTTTACTATTGTTACAGGGTTGATTGGAATTCGGTCATCACAGATCCTGAGTTGCTGGCAGTGGATCAGCTGTTATACATGGCTCAATCACCTGACTATTGCCAACCTAACAACACTACAGGTATAGAACTCCAATCAAAATAGCTAACAAAAGTGATTGGTCCTCACTTTAAAAACCCCAATCTAATAAAGATAGGTTAGAATTTGACAATAGTTAGGAAACAAGTGGAAACTTGTTCCACATCACGGAAACAAGTGTATTTTAACATTTTCTAAAATATTACTGTTTTAAAAAAAGAGTTAATGTTTGATTTTACTCTATATGTATATGAAAGTGTTTGGTGATTTACTAATCTGTTGGGGCCATAACCATCACTTATGACTATTTTTTTTTACAAAATGCTTAAAGCTGTAGTTGACAGTGCTACAGCCTGGGAGTAGTTTATAATTACTAAGCTTGGGCCGTTGGTCTACCAGAGTTGTTATTGTGGTACACCTGTACGCTCTGACTAATGGCGAGGCGGTTATAAGAAATTGGCTCCCTGGCCATGAGAAGACGAGGGTTCAAATCCTAACTTGTCTCAGCAAGTCAATAAACAACTAATGAGAAGTCTGTTTGTGACAGAGATTGGTGAGAGAGGCACCTATAGTCCTCGCCACCCTAAGTTGAGGCAGCCCAAGACCGCACGGCGTATACCTAGTGCGGCACTAGGTATACGCCGTGCGGTCTTGGGCTGCCTCAACTTAGGGTGGCGAGGACTATAAGAACAGTGGATAGCTCAGGTAGAACTTAACAATGGCTGGATTGTTCTTGAATTGCACTTCAAACCAGAAAATGCTAACTTTTACTATTACTTTGTTTTTGCCTACCAAAAACGTGTTTCATGAATTTTTTTCAGCTTCTTAGATGAGCAAAACAAGAAGCGGATATACAAAATTAAATTAATGAATAACCTGTGGGGCTTAAACAGAAACATTTAACAAAAATAGTTATAACAATTGCAAATATGATACATATACATAATTGTTTTCAGGCTGGCCAGGTACCCTTGGTAGAACGTGTTCACGTGCGCGAGGTCCCAACGTGTCTCCAAAGGAGCGTCGCAGTTGTCGTAACCTGTGTCGAGCGTGTGGTCACGTCGTCCGTCGCAGACAACGCAAAGTCACGTACCACTGCAAGTGCAGCTTCCACTGGTGTTGCTCAGTCTCTTGTGAGGAATGCACCAAAACTGTACAACAACATTTCTGCGACTAGCGTCGGAAGATTTTTGTATTTTTAAAATTAGAAAGTTTTTGTGTTAAATGCATTCTAGTGAATACCTGTTGGAAATTCCACATAGTTATTGACATTTTGGAAGTTTGTAGTATTTACAACCAAATATTTTATTTTTTAGTTCAAGCCTGTTCGCATATCTAAGGTATTGTTTTGGAATTACCGGTACTAATTTTCACGTTATTAAATTAAATGTTTACTTGACCTTGCATGAAAGCTAGTCCACATATGTCACAAATGCATGATATAAGACCTAGTCGGCGTCCCCATCTCAATTGCTAACGCAAAAGCAAAAATATGTGTAAAATATTTCAAGTAGACAAAATTCTTTTGTAAATTTTAAATTATTAAATAAGTTAGGTTACATACTTTTTCATTTAGTAGGAATGTAAGATAGTCTTAATATGTACATATATTATTTTAAAATAAGGTTTCCCTTCTTAACTGATGATTGAAGCGATGTACAGTACTTTTCATTGTTCTCATTGATAGATTAACGTATTTTCATTTTCTCTTATTATTTGTTCATCATACATTCATTCAACGGTAATATGATATTTAAGAAACGACAAAATATATTACCGTATTAAATAATCACGGGGATAAATTTACAAACTAAATAGCATTAATTTTTTTTATGTAACTCAAGACACCACATAATACATTAATTTGCAAATAATTTGATGTTCTTTTTGATTTTATATTGTGTAAGAGCTAACTAAGTTTTATTAGACTGCTACCATGAATTTGTTTAAACACTAATTAGTATCATGAGATTTTAAATATATTTATTGTTAAATAAAAGCCTAAAAAGTTGCAGTTGTTTTCAATGTAAGCCTGATTGTTTACTTGTTGTCCACTGGGGGTTATTTATAAAACTTGCAATCTGCCAAGTACAAAAGTTCAATGGTAATTTGGCAAGCATCATGTAAACAGATACTGCCGTTAGAATAGAATAACAAGTCTTCTATCAATAAACTCAAGTAACAGTGCAAATATTGAGATGGACAGAAGACAATCGGCTGCTATTTTAGAATAAAATAAAAACAATTGGTTTTGGATACCAAAAAAACATAACATCTGAAAAAACAGCTGTAGCAAATTTTGTTTCAAGAGAAAAGGGCTGTAAACATTCTATTTGATCTCTTATTGTCTTTTCACAAAATTCAGGCGGTTTGAGGGAAAGTTCCCCCAGGAAACTTTTTCTGATTAATGTTTATGTTGCCCAGCTGATTGATGTTTTGGTAAACATCAGCTGTTAAGCTATTGTTTTAAAGGTAGGATCAAGTGAGTGAAATATATTTCTTCTCCTAAAACTGCCTAAATTTTGTGAACGGAGTTTAGTTTTTGTTACTATCATAGTAACTATGATAAACTGTTTATATATGCTATGGTTTATTTATAGAATATGTTGAGCTCACGTTGACATTTTAATTTGGCTTGGTTAAAAGTTTGTGTGTACAACAGAAAACAGTAATCAACAGAACACTGTCGGAGGGTCATTTCAGCTACATTTATTTTTGTTTTAAAACTGGTTTACAGCTTAAACGTAGGAATAGGATTTTACTATGGATCTAATTGTACTATCATACTACAAAAGTTCTTTCTATAGTCAAGATGACACAAGATGAAATAATTCATACTTCTTACTTAATAATCTAGTTTATTGGAAAATAAATATTAAAAAAATCATAGCTACAATTACCTGAGTTAACGGGGTCGCAAATAAGCTTAATTTAAGGCTACAACACTGACTTTCTTCCACTTTCTTCAGTAATTTCTAAGCTATTTTCTACAGTGAAGAGACCCGTTGTTTTGCCGTGTCGTCCACATCCTTCGACAAATTTCTTGGCTCCTTCTTCTGCTTCCTGGAAAATTGTATTTAATCACAATTTGAAAAATGAGAAAACGCCTTTCCTTATCAGAGTACTATATTTGTAGGTTATAAACAATCTATATTAAAATATGTTAAAAGCCTCTTATTATATGCTAACTATACAACATCATAATCAAAGCATAACCTCTTTTTAACTTTAAATTCTATACTTGATCTACCAGTTGTTGAGATATCGGCTTGAAAAAATTATAACAAATAATACCCCCGCTGCAGCAAACCTGTAGACTAAGCAAATTTCCATTTGCCCGATTTGATTTTACTTGACTTAAATCTAATTAAATAAATCAAATTAATTAGGTTTATCAAGTACCTAGGTTTAGGGAGAGTAATAGTGTTCTTAATAAGATATTTAATAGCTTAGTATAAAATAAATAGATTCGCCAAGTTTGATCAAAATATATCCATAAATAAACAAACTATAAGAGTTAAGTTAACTTATTCTCCATAAGAATAACATCACATTTTTAATTTAGGCCTACAATATTTTTATTTTCTCCTTACAATAACCAATAAATGTACAAAAACTATTTACTAAATTATTTGTTTTGAAAAGCTCTACAAAATTATTTGAGAAGAATTTTAAAAATTTTATGTTTTTTGTGTCAAAAATGGGAAATTCAATCACTACCCCATAAATCCAAGTTCCCATAGTCCAACCATTCTGGTTCACAAACTCGTTCTAATAAATGTATGTTTACACGTGCCAAATTTCCTCAAAATCTGATAATTAATTCTTAAATTTTTGTGTTAACACATTCACTGCTGAAAACCTTTAAGCAGGCGCTCGCCAATGGCGGCGAGGCCCGGGCGGAGCCCCGACGCGCTAACTGAATCAGTGATCGCTATTGGTATTGAAATATCTCAGTAAGACAAATCACAAAAGAGCAGTGGTGATTGTTCTGCGTTACTCCGAAAGTGGACGTAGTTCACTGAAACACCCAAAGGTAGCAGCACTGCCTGAATCAATAACCAGAGTCTTTGTAATATGGCTCAAATAGAGAAAATCCCCGAAAACGGGACAAAAGCATTGCCAGATGGGATTTTACGGGCAATTTTGGTACCAACCTACACCAGAATAAAGCTCACATTCTAAGCTACAGGCTGGTAAAGATTACAACGTTCCCCGACAATGGCTGAGCTCACATTGAAACAAGGTTGTTGCTATGCCAACGGCTGGTGTGCCAACTGCGCATGGCGGGCCGGCCCATCACTCGCGCTCAATGTAAACGATTACACACACATGTATAAATTGTGTACAATATAAAAAAATATACATTTATGAATTTGAACGGATGGTGTTTTTGGCCTCTGGAGACATCAAAACGAAAAAGTAAATCGGTCCAGGTCCAGGTCTTACTATGATACCTATGGTAAATTTCTTATATTACATATATTATTCTCTATATGGGAAATTTGCTAAAAATTATTATATTTAAAAAATAAAATCAATAATAATGTAATACTTTGCCTAATAGATTTTACAATAAACACAATTAAGTTAAGAGGAGAAAAAACTGTTCAATTACATAACACATTCAGCAATTGATAGTGATTGGAAAACCTAAGCAAACTATAGGCCTATTGTAAAAGATAAAGATTGGATATGGTCACTGAAAGAGCATTGGAGATTAATACAATCACATTACAAAATGCAAAATCAGATCTGATAAAGCACGTTTTTATTATAGTTCATTTAGGAACTGTGAAAAATACTAAAATACCCCCATCGCAGCTTGGATTTACACTAAAATATCTCATTAAAAATATCACATTTATTCCCTATTTAAATAAAATGAGTTTAACGAGTACTTAGGTTTGCTGCGACAGGGAGTGTAAAAAAGTGTTTTTAGTAAAATGTTAAATAGTTTAGTATTAAATAAATGCATTTTCCAAATTTGATCAAATTATGTTCATAAACAAGCAAACTACAACAAGTTTACTTATTCACCATACAAATGACATAGGAATTTTAAATTTACAATTTTTTGGAATTTTCTCTGTATACCAAATTCACAATATAGGCCTACAAAAACATCATATACAATATACATGTTCATCAATATACTAAATTGTTTGTTTAATCAACACACCACAACATTTTGTACATTTTGTGTGTGTTGAGCTACATTTTGTAGCTCTACAAAATGGTTTTGAAATCAATTGTTAAATTTTATGTTTTTAGAGTCAAAAATGGGAAAAACCAATTTTTACTTCAATAAACCCCCGTTCCCATGGTCCGATCATGCTGGTTCGCGAACTTGTTTGAATAAATGTAGGTTTACACGTTTTGTGCCAAATTTCATCAAAATCAGATCATTTTTGCGCTTGTAAGGACCATTTGATTAAAAAGCCCAATGATCAAGAAAAGTTAGGTACTGTTTCAAACCATCAAAAAGCTTCTGACTTTTCTCAGGATCGAACCAGCGACCATCTGGTTACAAACCACTCAGCTATTGAGAGACATATTTTTCACTAGGAACATACGCTATTTAAATCCGCTCGGACAGATATGTATGATTACCTGGATGGAGTTCTTCAGGTGGTGTTCTCTGTACTGGGAGACCAACCCAGCCTGTATATGTTGGTCAGAGAGACAGGTCAGATACAAAGCGGCTCTGTCGGTGTTGAGTGCGGCCTGAGGGAACTTGGCTATAGCATTGGCAGCACTGTAGGCTTGTCCAAAACCTATGGGGAAATACAAAACCACACAGCTGATAAAATTAACTTTTCAAATCACCAAATAAATGTCACTTAAAGTAAAATATTTGACTATAGACAAATTATTTATTAAAATATTCCTAGAGAACATTTATGCGTCAGGTAGGCCTACAATTAACTATTAATACAACTAGATATTCCATCTCCATGTTAAAGTTTTTTCCAGGTTTTTAATCAAAATCGTTGTAGTTGATGTGTGGGAAAGATTGCGCTGATTTAAATCCCTAATATACATTGAATACACGGATTATTGAACAAAGTAAAACTGATAGAAATGTCTTATTCTGAGCTATAGCAACTGTAACTACCCATCAAATTTGTCAACAACAACAAAAATAAGGTAGAAAATAGAATTTTAGACCCTAGCAAAAAAATGGTGACAGCTGTTCCATATAGATGGGATGTCAACTTCAGTACGGTGTCCAATAGTCAATGGTAACCGATATCTACCGGTATCAGTACAGGGTACTTTGGTATTAAACGGAGACCACTTATTTTACAGCGTGCTGCAGCAGTTATGTTAGGTTGGGTTATCAATCATGTTTGTAGGACTTTCCTTGTATCATTATGAATCGAACGATACCAGATAAGTCATACCATAGATAAATCATACTCCCTTAGTAGATTTGTCATCCTTCTGGAACAGCTGAAGCCAATTTTATTGTTAGTTCTGTACGTCCAACTGTAGAGGTTATGTTTTGTTTACAATTTATTTCTTGATATTTAAGTCATTTAAAACCTTATTTAACAAAATAAAACGATTTAATCATAAACAATAACTGGTCTCCTAACCAAATAGTAAAGCACAAATCATGAAAATAACCCTAAAATAATAGAAACAAAATGTTGTCTAACCCAGCGATCAGTGTGGACGTACATGAACTAGACACGAAAAACAGGCTTCAAAATTTACAATGGGATGAGGAGTCTACTTGTGTTGCTTAGTCTATGGTCATACTTTCTATTTATGATAACTCAACCTAACATAACCACCGCAGCGCACTGTATAAGGGTAGCCTCCGGATAACACACAAAGTACCCAGTATAGATTATTTTTGTACTGTACTAGTACACTCCTTGTACTGCTTGATATCTATAAACATTAACTTTTGAATACTACATTAAATATTGAAATATTATTTAAGTGGCCTAGCTATGGACAATATTTCATATAAATGGAACTTAGTCGAATACAGTAAGTTATTCACACTCACAAAAAAATACGATTTTTCTCTTAGTTTTCAATTTGTATCACAACTCTCATTCGGTTAAGCAGAGGCTATTCAGGAAAATATGTCTAACTAGGCCTAATTATCTCTTTTAAGTTAAAAAAATAGGCTAAAGAGGCTTTACATTAAAACTACTACCCAAACCCAAGGCTCAAGCTAACTTTACTTTAAGTTAAATGCAAAGTTTATTCACACAGCATTGAAATGTAACCAATGTTACCTACCAGTGCCGCAAGCCACTAAGCGAGATACTAGGCCACATGAGAAGGCCTCCTCCGCTGTGATTGGTCGACCGGTCAACACCCAGTCTAGACTGCGGGACAGCCCAACCATATGCTTCAGTCTGTCCAACATACTCTGGCTTTGAGGAATACCTACGAAGAAAACAGGTGTAAAAATACCAGAGAGTCTATATCAAATTAGGACACCCTACTAACAATAGGGTGTTACAAACCTAGTGGACAGTGGTGCAAGAGGAATGGGTTCTATCCTTGTCATACAACCACAAAAATCTTATAGGTTTGGACCAATTTATTTCAAAACATTTACAATCCCTTCATTAAAAACACCCCTGGCATGGAAACTGTAAAAATAATTATTTGAAATTAACTGGAAATATTTATTTAAAAAAAATCATAAAACAGTTTAGAAAAGTTTAATGTGTTATTAAAATTACAGTTTATAGAAATAATAATTATGCAACCATTCAACATTTATTTGACTAAAAAAGTTCTGGGATATTCAAGACTAAAAATTCAAGATATCTATGTCTGTGTTTCTAGTGGGGATGATATCCCACTCGATTGTAGAAAAGGCCTGGGAAGTTTGCACCTTATAAAATTCACAGCTACAACACATCAGAGGAAATTACTATAATATTGCTGTGATCACGGGCACGAATAATTTTAAAATGCCGTAGTAACACGTTTACATTTATTCTGTAAAAGGAGTGAATTATCAAGAATTTACTATTCCTTGGTACCATCAATACAAAATTTAAAAATACAAAACCAAGATTCAGAACGGATTAAACAGACTGATTTTAAATCAACCTGTTTTTCTAGCAATCAGCAACTCGCTATTAAGGTTAGTCAAGCTGTACTAACTTTACCAAGTCTTCTCTGGAAGCAGCCCATGATGGCCTTGTCCTCCATCACTCGCAGATCGCACCATAGCGCCAGGTCCATACCGACCCCCACGGCGTAACCAGACACTGCTGCCACTAGCGGCTTAGATACATAGCGGTCTGTCAGTCTCTATAATAAAAACATACTGTAGATAGCCAACAATATGGTACAACACGTTACAACAATATATGCCTTGTCATGTTAATGAGTGCAGGCTAGAAAGTGTAGTCTAAATTTACAGTTGTTTGGTGTTTTTATTTAGCTTCACCAAAGAATGTTGGTTTCTGTGATTTGTTTTTTGTTAATCTTTTCATAGGGGCCCGTTGCCTTTTCTCATCCCTTGCTAGAATTAGGCCAATAGATCTAGGCCTACATGATTTTAGAATCACAGTTTTTAAAGCTATGCGATTTTTGAAAAAAATAATCAAACTGTCACTTCACTTCAATTCAGAAATCGGCATAAAATGCTTACAAGTCCAGTGAGTTTTTCTGCCAGATTAGGGTCGTTGCTCATCTCCTTCAAGTCAAAACCTGAACAGAAGTTTCCAGCGACACCATGTATGACTCCGACTGCAACACTAGTGTCTTCCTCGAACTGGGAGATGGCATCTGATAACCGGCTTGCTGCTTCGTAATTCAGAGCATTGCAAGTCTCAGGACGATTTATCCCGATGGTCATCACAGTATTCATTTTATTAACAATAATCACATTTCCTGTAACAATAAACTTAATTAATAGTGCATTTTCAACCTCCATTTTTTATGATACTGTAACTTGGTTAAAACCATTTGTAAAGTTTAATAGTAGGTTAGGCCTACAGTTTCTATTCAGAAAATGTTGGGAACATGGTAAGAAATAGGTTAGACATAAATTCTATAGCAAAGTATGTTTTTTATTTAGCTTTACCTGGTCTCAACATTAGCACCGCCCACACTCTATGTTAGACCTCAGCTAATGTGAGTCCTTTTTTAATATTGCTGAGAAGATGATGCAGCATGATTTAAAAAATGCTACACAATATTTAACTTATTAATTTATTTATTCATTCTCAACAGTAATGTAAGTGGAGAATGAGTGATAACACAAAACATTCATGATATAACCCAACCTGATATAACTGCCGCAGCGCTGTGTATAAGGGTGGCCTTAGTATATTATTCGGATGATACCAAAGTATCAAATAAACTTAGCCTACCTACCTAATAATAACTAGGTACTGTAATTTACCTGGTGAGTTGTTTGTGGTGGTAGAAAATGTCCTCAAATTACAGAAAAAAATTCTTTGAAATAATTTTTGATGTACCATCATTGTCAGGGCTATCTTATATTTACACTTGCACTTTTTACTTGGAGCCTTAACTTACCGTATTACAAATAGTAGCCTGATGGCTCAAATAAAAAAAAATTCAATCCCGAAAATAATACCAATGTCTATAATTTAGTATTGTCGCGCCATATAGTATTATTTATTAGTACAGTATAGAAATATTGAACATGTTGTAAAAATACTGAAAGCAAAAATGTTAGCCTAGAATAACAGTCCAACACCTCCCCGACTTGAGACTCGACCACTCAACTCTCCAAGACAAAAAGTGTGAGTGAAGTGGGAAATTTTAGCTCAGTGATGAAGAAGGTCTATTCTTCTCTGATTTTGACTGATTTGAATTTGATTTAATGATTTGTGATTAGACAATTTTATTTTGACAAACACGTTAACACAAACATAACAATACAGACGACACTGACAAGTGGCAAGGCAACATTTTCCGAAAGAAAAACTAAAAAAAGGCCTTTCGCTTTCGGCACGGTGTGACGGCAATAGGCATTAGGCATTTATAACATGCCGTTGAACGAACGATTAAATCTATGAATTGTGTGAATATGAGGCTATACTATATTACAACGTTATAGTATTAGCATAGATTAAACAAACTCTCTTTTAAAATAAAATAAATACTAAAAGGGTACTTTGTTATATATGTTTTAATTTTATTATATTAGTAGCCCTAAAAATGCAAGAAAATAAACTCTCTTTGATATTAGCATGATATTAGTGTATTTTTTTTAATTTTACAGAATAACTTTTTGTTTTTCAAAACATACTCCTCAAGGCCTAAAGCCTCGAGGAGTATGTTTCATCTATGCTATTGCCGTAGTACTCATGGTAAGACCTGGACCCGGGACCGACTTACTTTTTAGTTTTGAGGTCCCTAGAGGCTAAAAACACTATCGGTTCAAAATAATATTTAAATGTGCGTGTGTACGTTAGTACGATAACTCAAGCAAAAACCTTATAAAACGAAAAAGTAAATCGGTCCTGGGTCTAGGTCTTACCATGAGACCTGCGGTAATATCTTATTCCCTATATGGGAAATTCACTAAAAGAAGCAGTACCAATACAACTTGTATGTAACGCTACATTACATTATTATTAAGTCTAAAGCATGGTGGATGGAAAATACATATGTGTGCTTTTCCCGTCATACCTTATTACCTTATTACCTCCTCCTTGGCTTGATACCAGCATAAGCTGGTTAGGCTGCGTCAACTATTTACAATTTTAAAAATGAAAACTAATATTTACAATATTTACAAACTTCCATTAAGTCGGATTAATAAACTTAATGGCGGTGGATTTAAAGTCCCGTGAGGTCGTCCTCAAAGAACTCCTTAAGCGAGTAATATGGCCTAGCTTTTAGCCAACACTTTAACCTGGCTTGAAACTGGTTTTTGTTTAAGTCCCTAACTGCAACCGGCAACTTATTGGTCAGTCTGAGGGCCATGACCGGGAAAGCATCCTTTGTCCTACTGAGCCTGCAATAGGGCACATCAATGTGGTCTTTGCGCCTGGTGTTGTGCGCATGCACCTGCTGCCTGGTGGTGAAGGTATTACCACCGTCTGCGTCTGACGTCACGCAGATAAAAAAAAATAAGCTGATTGTATTGCCATATAAGTATATATTTGTTTTGATAGGATTGTTATTGTTTTTATACTTTTTCTAAATATGGTAAAATGGTGTTTGCAATCTGAGTGACGTCAGTATATGACGGGAATAATAGCACACTTTGTATTTTAGTTTCACCAGTATGTTTTATCTATGGTTTCACCATGAGCCTGAAGTGCGGTAAAGACAGCAAGCGAAAAAAGAAGAACTATTTCATTTAATTTTATTATTTTCATGTGTTTTCTATGTTTTGTTTACAGTTTACATTTTGTTGTTAAATGTCAATGTAGGCTAGATGCTAGATAATATTTTTATTTCGTCTAAGTTTGCCCGGCATTTAGAGTTTAATATGTTTATAGCAATTAGCAACTAACGATTTTTAGTAATAAAATGTTAGGTTTGTTATCAACAAATAGAGCATCTTTACAACTGACTCTCGCAATTCTGAAACCCCATGTCGTAAAGGCATCTCATGCTTTAGAGGTTAGTTTTAATTAAATTTTATGTGTCCACAGAGAAGCAACATCTTTGTAGCCTAATGTAGGCCCATCAAAGTATTTTTTTCGGGCACAGTTCTGTAGTGAATGTTTAATTTGATAAGATCGTATTAATAGCCTACATATCGGTTATAATTTGGTTTAATATTAATGTTGCATCGAATTTAGTTTGAAGTTACCACAAATTTTGTTATAGGCTTAGGCTAAATAAAAACAGTAGCTTAAGAAAAACATTAATAATGTGGATTATTTTTATCCTTGGTTTTATTCTAAATTTCTACGACTGAAATTGGAAGAAACTACTTTAGACATTTCCAAATTCTACGGCCAATCATATCAAAAAGTTTTGGCTAGGCCTGCTTTAATAACGTTCAGTGGCTAAGTATATTTTGTTTTTGATTGAATAGGCCTATCCGATTGATAAGTTAGATTCATTTATTAAACGTCAATTAAGTTAAAACGTAAACAGATCATTAACTTACTCAATTTGATGTTGGTTTACGTTTATTAATCACTAACTTAATAAAAATGTAAACAGATCATAACTTAACTCAATGCGATGTTTACATTGGGAAACAAATTTTGGAAGCGATATATGGAACCAAACTATAACTGCTATAGACTAACATATATCAATAATTCAACCAATACGGTCCTATATTAGCTTACAAGTTCTCTGCAGAGCTGTAGGCTACCCTTTTAGCGATTTCCCATAAGTTAAGTGGAAGGCTCATGTTTTTTTCGACTAGTTACAGTCAGTCTCCTCTGATTATTCACGCTGATTATCCATCCAGTAAATATTTAAATCTGTTGGAATGCGATCACGTGACATGATCCCCCTTACCATCCTCCACCATATGACAGGTGGCGCTGTGGCTGCGTGGTGTTGGCGCTGCCAGGCGTAAGTTAAGCGTAAGCGTATAAGTATGACTCACTCACACTCACTACTCACCGGGGTGGCTCCTCAGTGGCTGCCGCGAGGCTCGGGTTCCGTAATCCCGCCACTGACGCTGTCAAACGATGTTTTATATTCTTTTGTGTTTTAAATGTCGTTCGTAGGTTTTTATTAAATCATTACAACAATTGAAATAATCCATAATAAATCAGACATATTTTAGGCACATATCTGTTCTTTATTTTATTATTTATATTCAAAATCTTTAACTTATTATCAGCGATAGTAAGGCCTCGCTGCACGAGGCCTTCCCCGGCGCAAGGCCTGGAGCGGCTGCTCCACTCGTTCGACCCTAAGGACGGCGCTGCCCGTCTCTCCCATACCAAAGTCTGAGATGTTAAACTTAACCAATAGGCTAAGAACACACCCATTTCATTGATTATCAATCACTTAAGGTACCCTACCTAGGACTACCGATATAAATACTGATAAAACAACTCGGTTTAAAAACAAAATTATCTTGAAGTTGTAATATTTTTCACAAGGTATTGCATAGGTCTACTTCATAACTCCTTAAACCATAGTCCACCTTTTGCATTGCAACATTCAGTAAAGCATCTAAAATATAGACGGAACTAACTCCTAATCCACACGTAACTTAGTTCCTTATATTCTACAATTTAATGTGATCATCCTAATAGGAAGTCATGTAAGTTTAAAATTTGTATGAAAAATGCTACTATCTAAAATGTAGGCTCCAACTCTACTAAGTCATATTTTGCTTTAACATATAGACTATTAGCGTGGTGGGTTAAAATAAGGTTGTTTTATTTACAAATTTTCAGAGCAGCAGCCACTAAAAGATTTTGCTGGGCTCGCTTTCCCACACCATGCTGTTTTGTAGGGTTTCCCGCTGTGTTTGCACTGGAGTTGCACTGGATATTTTAGGCCTACTTGTTTCTAATTTGTTGTAAGAAAAGTGTACTACAGATAGTGCAATTTTCTTGGATTTTGTTCTAAATAATTTTTTCACCTTTTCCGCGTTGTCTTTTTATTTTTACCTGAAGTGTGTGAAGCTGTAAATAGATCTACATAAAGGGTTGGTGTGAGGGGTAGTGGGGAAGTGTTTTAAAATGCCTAGAAGCACTGAAACACGTGTTCCAAACAAATGTTTAGAACACCCTGTGATCTTTACCGACCTTTGACGGGAAACAAAATTTCTGTTGTAAACACTAAAAACTGTTGCGAACATAAAAAAATGTTTCTTTTCATAATGTAGTGTTTCTTGGTTTGTTAGGAACATTTGTTGTAAACAGTAAACTCCGGTGAAACACGGCTTAAGGTGGGGAAATGAAACTACAGTCACCCTTTCTTTGAATTTTCTGTGACTTTTCAATTTATCTTGCATGGAAAGATTAACACAAAACAAGTTTATGATAAAATAATTAATGTTTTCTTTACAGGGTATTCGGAGGATTATCAAAGATAACAATTTTAAAATTGTAAAGTCATGCGTTTTAAAAATATCACCCCAACAAGTTGAAAGTTTTTATGGGGAACACAAAAATAAATTTTTCTACAATCGTTTGGTTACATCTATGATGAGGTTAGTCAATTTAGGTTGTATTTGATAACATAATCACAAATTAATGTTTTATACCCAATCCTATTTTAAAATAAATTGGTCCTATAAGTTTTGTTTCTTAAAATAAGTTGTCTGGCTTATATTAAATTGGTTGTATCAGAAATATGTTATTTTGGGATCATCTTCAAATGGTCCAAAGTCGTTTGGTCCACAGTTTATATTGCCGTTCGTTTGGTCCAAAATCGTTTGGTCCAACAGTTAAAAACTCGTTCGTTTGGTCCAAAATCGTTTTATCCAATTTCATTTGGTCCAAAGTCGTTTGGTCCACAGTTTATATTGCCGTTCGTTTGGTCCAAAATCGTTTGGTCCAACAGTTAAAAACTCGTTCGTTTGGTCCAAAATCGTTTGGTCCAACAGTTAAAAACACGTTCGTTTGGTCCAAAATCGTTTGGTCCAAAAGTACAGGCCAAACTAGAAGTAAAATGTTGCATTGTAGAGTAAACTTATGAAATATACTGTACGTTTATATTGCCGTTCATTTGGTCCAAAATCGTTTGGTCCAAAGTATAAACTATTGCGTCCCTCACATTGAAGGCGTTTAAATATCCGCCGTCGTATACAATAATAATATTAATACAATTTTTGCTTTAAACATGTTGAGTTTCTATGTTTTTAACGTTAAAGACGCCATGTTTTGTTGTATTCAAACCACTAAAGCGTACATAAACAAACTTAAAGCTCAATAGTGTATCATACGGTTGGAAATATTATAAATTAACAGTGTTTATCACATTTGGCGACCTTCTAATATACAGAGTGTTCAGTGG